CAAACGCAACTTCTACCCCAATTTCTAGAACTCAAAGTCCCTTTCCCACGATGCACCTCTTATCTTTCCCTCTCATCTCCAGGCTCTAAACTAGATACTCCCCTTTCCAGAACCCCAAGGCCCGATGAAGATCTGGGGTAGCCCACACCCCAGTCCTGAAGGCCCTTCGGTTCTAAGTTGAAAACCTCCAGTGTCTGTATCCCTCACTTCTCCATCACTGTAAACCCTGCCTCCCCGTCTCTGGAACAGCCCAACCCCAGCTCCTTGCCCTGGCTGGAGAACACCCATGCAGCTATAGAACCGATTCCTCCCCTGCCCCAGAGGGCCTGGTTCTACATCCTGAGTCTCCCCGCTGGTCACAATCTCTGTCTGTGAACACAGGTTTTGAGCACCTGTGGACTCAGCCAGGACCGAGTTTGAATCCTGGCTCTGCCACTTAGGAGTTGTGTAGCCTTGGGCGAGTACTCCTCTCTGAGCCTCAGTTTCCCCACATGTAAAACAAGGGGCAAACATGGCCCCTTCCTCACAGGACAGTCACGAGGATTAAGTGAATCTCACCTGTAAGCACGGAGCGAAGCGCGTGTCCCATGGCAAGTGCAGACCATTATCTTTTGATAATACCGTTTTTGATGCATTCAGCAAATTATCTGTGGAGCATTTGTTCAGGGCCTGGCACTGTTTGGGGCACTGGGGACACGGCAGGGAGCAAGGACAGGATCCTGAGCTCACAGAGCTCTCCATATAGTTGGAGAGAAGAAAAATAAGCATATATATGTGTATATGTACGTGTGTGTGTGTATACTTAAACTAAGATATAATTACATACAGAAAAATGCACAGATTTTTTAGGTGTACAGTGAATTTTCACAATACCTTTATAACCAACTCCCCATCAAGACAGCATTAGCACTATTCTAGAAAGTTCCTTCAAGACCCTTTCCAGTTAGCGATCTCACTGCAAAGGCAGCCACTGTCCTAATGCCTTTGCTTCTAGATGGATTTTGACTGGAATTGCATTGTTGAATATTTTGACTGTCACCCCTGCATAAGAGTCAAGACCTTAAAAGAGTTAAAACCCTTTTAAGAATAGAAGGTCCCCTATGGTTAATGGCCCCCACCAGCCCTCACATTAGTATTAAATGACAATCACAATAATGATCATTCTTTCCTATCATATAGCCACCTCTCTCCCTGACAGTCACTTGGAACTCTCATGTCTGATCTCGGAAGCTAAGCAGTGTCGGCCCTGGTTGAGTAGTTGGATGGGAGACCACCTAGGAAGACCAGGTGCTGTAGGTGTAAAAAATCCTTGCAATCTGTGAGGTCATCCAAAGGTTGCCTCGCCTAAAATAAATAAATAAATACATACATAAAGACTCATTGATTGACAAACAAAAAGCAAATCGGATAATGTCACCTTATTTAACATTCTTCTAATAATAATAATAATAATAACAACAACAACAACGTGTTAGTTATCTTGGTCAGCCTCCTCTAGGAATCTGGTTAGTAACCCAGCATTTTCATTCATTCCTCCTTCATTTCATGGCCAGGTAGTCCCAGAAGGCCTACCAAGCTCCAGACCCTGCTGCATCTGGGGAATCATTTTGCCTTCAGGGTCCAGCTTGAGAGCGACCTCCGCCAGGAAGCCCTCTCTGACTCCCATGGGCTGAGCAACCTGCCATCACAGGGCTCCTGTGCCTTGTCCCACCGCCACTAGCACTCATTCTGGACTGACCTCCCTGAGCACACGACCTAGATCAATCTGTTCCCTGCTGGGTCTTGAGTACCCAGCTCAGGGCACAGGACACACTTGGTGCTCAATCGATATCTAAGAATGGTGCTTAGAGGATGGGATAACTGATTGAGTGGATGCCATTTCTTCCCCGCAGAATGACTTTCTCACTGGTGTGTTCCCTGCCAGCCCCCTCAGCTGGCTCTTCCTCTTCAGTGCAATCCAGCTCGCCTGGTTTCTTCAGCTGGATCCTTCCCTAGGGCTGATGGAAAAGATCAAAGAGTTGCTGCCAGACTGGTGAGCTCCCCGCTTTGGCCCAGTAACCTCCCTACTCCCTTTCCCTCCACCTAGAAAGCTTCTCTATCAGCGTGGTGTGCCTGCTAAAGAAAAGTAACCTCTGAGACTTTGGGACAGATTAATAAAGGTACAACATCAGTAAGAAGGAGGTGATTGCCTCTCTTCTCTCTGCACATTTTCCATCCTGGCTGCTTCTTGCTAAGGGGGATGGCGACACACTAGAAAATGTCCAGATGTGGTTATATATACTAACGAAAGCATGAACTCTGCTTGTCTACAGTTGTGCACTCTTAGGCAAGAGACTTCACCATTCTTAGGGTCAGAGTGTTCATCTGTAAAATAGGGATAAAAATAATTGCTTCTTAGGGTGGTTGGAAGGATTAAACCAAATTAAGCCTGTGGAATATTCGGTACGGTGCCAGGGGGTTATTAAGTGGGACTGGTTGTACTATCATAGTTCACCTTTGAGAAAGGTTTGGCCACCAGATACCCACGAAGTGGCAGGTTCTAACGCTTCGATTAGTCCTGCTGGAGAAGGCAGATTTTGTGCAGACAGCCCCAAAAGGCAGGTCACGGATCAGAGGTCAAAATTTCCAGGAAGACTAGATTTACTCAGTCTACAGAGGGGACGTGACTCGCCCCACGTCCTCCAGGTGGGATTTGCTCCCATGTCTGATTGCAACTTTGCAGACATGTTGATTTACTGAAGCTTTAGACCAGTTTCCTGAACTTGAGTTTGTATTAGAACCGCCTGGAAGGCTTGTTAAAACACCAATTGCTGGGCCCAAGAGATTCCATCTTAGTAGGCCTGGTTGGAGGGAGAGGCCAAGAATTTGCATTTCTGGCAAACTCCCTGGTGGTGCTGGTGCTGCTGGTCCAAGGGCCACACTTTGAGAACCATTGCCTTAAAGTATAATTTGAAATCTGGGCGGAAAAAGTATCCCTTCAACAGAAATATCACCTATTAGGCATCTAGCGATTTCCAAGGGGAAGTGATTTTAGAAGCTGGGTGTCCCCACAGTCCTGGGGGTGGGGAGATTTCCTAGAGAGTATCACGCCCACTTTACAAATGAGGAAATTTGGCTTCTCTGACTCTACAAGTCTACAAGATAAGCCCCCAACAGCCAAAAGACCCGAGTCAGAGAATATTATTTAGGGCCGGGGCTAGGCGGGGATGAAGGAGAGGGGGGTTCTGAAGCCAGGAGACCCAGGCCCATCCTCTCTTCCTCTCTCCCAGGGGAGGACAACACCACAGGCTTCGGGGGATCCTGGCCGCTGCGCTGTTTGCTTCGTGTCTATGGGGAGCCCTGATCTTCACACTTCACGTGGCTCTGAGGCTGCTCCTGTCCTACCACGGCTGGCTCCTCGAACCCCACGGGGCCATGTCCTCGCCCACCAAGACCTGGCTGGTATGTGGGGGGCAGAGCCCGGCTCAGGCTTCTAGGGGCTCGCTTCTCTGTCCCCCCTCTCTCTGGGGCTCCATCCCGCCCGCCCGGGGTCTCCATCCTCCTCTCCATAGGTCTCTGTCCCCGTCTCTCTGTGGGTTGCCACACACACCCCAACCG